GCTGAACAAAAAAAAATTTTTTGTTGTTGTTGTTTGTATTTAATGTTTATATATTCCTAAAAGGGGAGACTATATGTTGTTTTTTTTTTTTGTTGTTTTTTTTACATTTGGTGATTTGGTTAAAGGTTGTACAGCAGATTTGCATGAACTGTCCTGTTAATGTAGCCTTAACTGCTGTGAATATGACAATCTGCACAATGTGTTTGCAAAAATGACTCTTTTTCTAAAGCATTTCACCAGAGTGGGAACAAAATGAACAAAACTTTGAATAAAAATAACTGACACTACAAACACGCCTTATTCCATTACCAACCAGATAGAGAATGTATATCAGATATAACGGCAGAAGTACTGGTACCAGGAAGTATGAAGAGTAGCAGGACGTTTTTTGTTTTTTTTAATTATTATTTGTTATTGTGACACAGCAAACCACTGCACACAACGTAATGTGACCTCTGCTTTTAACTAATTCACTTTAAGCGCCCGGGGAGCAGTGTGCCGTGCTCAAAGCACCTCAAGAACTTGAACTCGAACCTGAAACCTTCTGGCCCCAAGTCCACTTTCTTAACCGCTAATCCACCACATAATATCAATGTTAGCAGCCCCCCCAAAAAAAGCTACCTGCTAAGGGACAGCACCAAGAACAGTACCAGAAAGTGATTGGCTGCCAGGAACAATATGTCTGGACTGTAAGAATTTCAGGAAATACCAAATAACCATCCATGTTTGAAAATATTTATTCTGGAAAAGCTGCAGCAGTTTTACTCTGTGACAGCTGTGGTTGCATCAATGAGGATATTGTGTCCTGGATCAAGTCTTCTGAAGTCGGTGAAAACAGGAAACGGCCTGATGGCGCTCAGATGTTTAGATATTTAGCGTGATGTTTCATATGGTCATTGAAGAAAGAATAAATGAAGAAGTAGCTGTGGTCGTAACCCTGAAATGAAGAATATTACAAATGAATGCACGGAAAACCAAACGACTCCTGATTCACGTCTCTGTTGTGATGGTTGTTAGTTATGTACAGCGGATTTTCACACAGGATGAAAGTGTTTTACCGGCTGCAGTCTGAAGACCACAGCGATGTTCTTCTCAGAGCAGACGGAGATCAGGTTATCAGGCAGCAACTGACTGGCTGACAGGAACTGGTCATCACGGCCCTGATCGATTAGGATGTCCAACTGAGGACCAGTGTAGGATCCCGCTAACACAGTGGCATCATACGCCTAAGGAAGAACTTAACTTTAGAAGACGAGGTTTTAAAATGTGTTTAAATAATGTTTCGTTTTTATATAGTAAAAACAGTAAAAAAAAAGTTTCAAACTGGCAGCTGCTAGACCAGGGATGGGCAAACTAAGGCCCGGGGGCGGGATGTGGCCCGTTCAGCTTTTTAATCCTTGGCTAGCCAATTATATAATCCATTTATATTATCATTATACTTCTGCCTTTTCCCTGCAATACCCACATTTCCCCAATAGATGGCGTAGAATATGATTTTAACGCCCCCTCAAAGTGCCGTAACTGTTGGATTGTCAAGTTGCAGGTGGTAACTGAATGCGCCTCATGTGACAGCTGCAACTTCGCTATGTCAATGCCATAATCTGTGCGGACCTGGCGGTTTGCAACTCTTATCAAACTGGTCCTCAAGGTAGCATGTAGCCAGCTAGCACATGTTCATTAATAACTTTTTTTTTATGCTACAGAAATGTAATAATTTCTGAATACTGGAAAAAAAAAGTAAGAAAATACATTCTAAATGTTGATGTTTCTTGACATATTTTGTAGTATTGTCTGTGAGTTTGCAAAGGTGGTCACTAGCCAGAAGCTAATGCTAATAGGGGGGCCTTAGCATGGACATTTTGGTAACCCCTGTGTTAGTCCACAGGGACACAGAAGCTGCTGGTCCAATACTTCCTCATATGGTCTGTTTGTCTCTCTGACAAACAAAATATTCTGAAAAAGTTAATCTTATTACAATTCATACATGTTCATATTGATCTGCTTAATGATCTTACCTCCCAGGTGGACCTATCAGAGCCCAGATATCCAGCAAAGGCCTTCTGACCCCATGGACATTGCATGGGGTTACATATGGGAGCGAAAGCAGACACTGACTGCGGGTTCACAAAAAAAAAACAAACAAACAAACAACTGTTTAAACACGGTTATGGTCATGTGATCTCATTTTTGGTTCCAAGTTCCTGAGGTACCTTGTATTTCCCAGGATTCTTCATGGCACAGATTAGAGCTCCGTGTCCCCCCATGGAGTGACCACTGATAGACATTTTGTCTGGGTTAGCGGAGAAGTTAGCATTGATCAGTTTAGGCAGCTGGGATTAAACAGAAACAAAAAGGATTAATGAGGCTGAGTTACATCCACAACATTATAAATTTTCATCCTGTTGAGGTAAATTTGACAGAAATGTTTGACGTTAAAGTCAAAGGTGTTTTTTGTGACACATTTTGAGAGACTTTAAATTAAGAAAAAAAACAAGGGAGACTCTGCCCACCTCGTTTGTGATGTACGAGTACATGCGATAGTTGGTTTTCCAGGGATCCTGAGTAGCGTCAACGTAAAAACCTGCTCCAGTTCCGAAATCCCAGCTTTCGTCCTCACCCTCGATGTTACAGCCGCCTGAGGCACAGGTCGCTTATGGTTATGAGGTCACACCAGGTAAAATTGTGTGTGCGTGTGTGTGCTTGTGTGACCGTACGTGGGCTGGTGTCGGGGGCTACGATAATGATGCCATGTTCCTCAGCTGAGAGTTGGCTTCCTGCTTTGGTTATGAAATTCTGCTCCGTGCAAGTCAGGCCTGCAGAAACAACAGAACAGAATTTTTTTACAAACTATTCACTTCACTACACCAAAGGCAAAAAGATGAACAAAGAAGCTGCTGGTTTCTGTTGCCTACGGTGGTCCGTTTATGTCACTGTGAGCTTAAATTGCTATACTTATACTGTATAATGTAGTGTTTTGACTCACCAGAGAGCCAGTAGAGAACTGGAAGTTTGTTGGTCTCGGCCTTTGATGGCAGGAAAATGGCAAACTTCATCTTACACATGAGCTCGGTGCTACACAGATTGCAGAAAAAAATAAACAATTTATCACAAAGGTAAGAACAAAACAATTCTCTAAACTCATGCCACAAAATTAAAATGTAACAAAAAAAACCTGAAGATTTGCTAAGGCATTGAATTAGTACTAGATTAGTTCAATTATTCTGTCAAAATAAAAAATGTACTATCATTTTAATTTTAAGGATTTCTGACACCTTTCGTGCTCATAAACCTTTTGGAGACCACCGGCACATTTGTTTGAAGATACTTGTGTCAGAGCCATGGCTTGTCTGTAGGACAAACAGCAAAATATAAACAGAATGGTTAAAAAGACAATTCAAATTGCGTTTTAGATTTTCCATTTCGTGTGTTTCACCAGTGTTTTCTTTGACTTTGAGCCACAGCACATATTTTACATTAGAAAAAATCCACCAAACAAATACGTCACAATAAATATATAAACGAATATAATCATCCATATAATCGACTATAATATATATAAAAGCATATATAATAAATAATAATATTAACAATATATGATAATAATATAATAATCTATATATAGCCATTCTTTTTTTTTACCACAAGGTACAACACTAACGTGAACCTTGCGGGCGTCGAGGATCTATAAAAACTTAACTCTAACCGTGCATTAAAAAAATATCTATGCAGTGCTGATAGGCGTCGAACTTAAACACACAAAAAAATCTCATACATTCAAAGCCTCTTAATATGTTAACAGTTCGGAAGAATTCTAACAAAAATAGTTTGCCGAGTCCGGTCTAACTTACGACATTCACTTTGTTCATGCACATTTAAACTTACTTAAACGTATGCAAAACAGAGAGCAAATACCACTGTCGTACCTTCTTAAATCAGTTTTCTGTCAGGAGCTTATGTTTTAACATGGATATTGCTAACTTCTTCCAACACAACAGTGCAGCTCGCACAGGCCGTAGTCCGTCGACACCGACGTAATGACGTCAAGACAAACCCGTTGACCGAAATAGAAGTGCTATTTTACATTTGTAACTGAAGAGGGCAGTGATGTATTTCCCCACAGTCATTCTCCTAAAATGACGCTGTGCGCATGCGGTGATCACAGCTGTGGAAGCCATAGCAGGAAACTCATAGCAAATTCAGTGTCATATCTTATTTTATTTTCCTTTTAGTCTCCGTCGGCCAGGATGGCCGGTACCGCACTGAAGAGACTAATGGCGGAGTACAAACGTGAGTAGACCCGAACTAAGTCAGGACTTCCGCCAGAAGCGGACTAGTAACGTCAGTAAAAAAAGACAAAGCTAAAGGAAGCTAAGCTATCCACATAACTTTGTGTACCAATGTTTAATAAAATAACGAGAGAGAGATATATCTGAATATATAAATTAATTAAGGAAAGTGCAAAAAAACCCAAACACAATTTAGACAACATCTGGTATTTTTGCTCAATAATTTCACACTAAACTATATTATCACGCACAATCTATTTAGGAACAATTGTTTACCTCCATGTACACACACACACACATTCCTCGTAGGTGTACCTACCTGGCAATAAACACGTTTCTGAATATGATTCTGATTAATGCTAGATAACTTGATGGTGCTCAACCATAAGCAATAACAATTAACCACAACGTTGTTTTTTTTTATCGTGAATGATTAATAAATGCAGGTTATATAGTAATGCTATTTACGTGTTTCAGTGACATATGTGTTCATTTTTCCCTTTATTTAATTTATTACCGTTCAAAGAAGGGTTATTATAATATAATATATATTATTTCAATTAGCTGTTTACTTGTGTTATGTATATTGCTCTTCGTTTTTTGTCTTTGCAATAACATTGTTTTCAAGGTGTAAGTTTGAAGATACATACATACACATACATATTCATCTTTTGTTGTTGTTATCAAAGCATTTCTGACAAAAGTTATACTTTGTAATACTTGCTAATACTTTTGTTTTCTTCATTTATTTGTTTCAGAGCTGACTCTAAACCCACCAGAGGGAATTGTTGCCGGTAAAACCACTTTACTTGTCTACTATAGAGTACCTGATAACATGTATATTCTTATCTGTACAAACCACTGTATGAGTTGCTGCCACCTAGTGACCGGAGGCTTGTTATCATTCAAGCGTTACAGCAGTGGTAAACTTATGTCCAAACCTGTTGCACCCTTTCCAGCAGGTGGCACCCTAGTCAACAGCCTATGTGGGCTGAATCAAGTAGAAAAATTGTCTTTTGTCTTCACTTCTCAGGTCCATTGAACGAGGAAAACTTCTTTGAGTGGGAGGCTCTGATCATGTGAGTTCCCACAGAAAAACAGTATATTATCGTGCAACTTTGTACTGTATGTGTTGGACTTGTACACTAGTCATCTTTGGCTTCCTGTTGTTGTATGTGTGTGTGTATATATATATATACAGTATATATATGTGTGTGTATATATATATATGTGTGTATATATATATATACATACATACATATATAGATATATACATATATATACATACATACATACATACATATATATACATATATACACACATACAACAACATATATATATGTATATATACTGTATATATGCATAAAGTAAATTTTATTTGTACAGCCCAAATTTACAAAATAATGAAATATTTGCGGTAAAACCCAGATATCTTTTTCTTCCCACAAATATTTAGGAGAAATTTGTTTTATATAAAACTGTAATGTGCATCAAAGCACAATGTGTTATGGGATTTTTGTGGATGATCAAAATGAAATTTTGATCTGACTTGACGCAGTAAAAGAAAAAGCTTGACTCTTACTCGATGTTTTTGTTTCCGTTGGTCCTTGTTCCATCTGTAGGGGGCCTCAAGACACCTGCTTTGAAGGTGGAGTTTTTCAGGCTGTCCTCAGTTTCCCCTCAGATTATCCACTCAGTCCTCCAAAGATGAGGTTCACCTGTGACATGTTTCACCCTAACAGTAAGTCACAGCACCTGTGCCAACATTTCCACCTTGTAGTCATCTTATTTTCTCTATATATTTTTGTTTAGTAAATAAAATCACTCTTAGTCACTCACACTAAAGTCAGTAGACAGAATGCAATGTTTCTGCTCTACCATTATATTAGGGCGTCACTCACTCAAGTTAATTTCCTTTTGTATCAACAAATCACGACAGAAGTCATTTCAGGTCACTTCGCACAGAAGACGTCTGAACCGCGTTCTGTTAATAAATAACAATGTTACTGATCCAATTAAAGCAAAGGTTTCATTTTCTTCATCGTTATGCAGCTATGCTTCTCCTACTCTCTTTTGTTTACCATGGACGAAGAGACATTTGTAGAGGCAAATGTTAGCTGTGCTATTAGTTGTAGCCATGCCGCTACTGCTAGTTCCCGCACAGAGCAGAGCAGTAGCCCACCTGCTGCAACCCCAGATAGATAGATAGCTGGGTAGGGTAGCTAGAGAGATGGATGGCTAGACAGACAGACAGGTAGATAGATAGATAGACAGACATAAAGATAGATATAGATAGATAGATAGATAGATAGATATAGAAAGATATAGATATAGATAGATAGATATATAAAGGTATAGATATAGATAGATAGATAGATAGATA